ACTGTTGCGTTGAATTTCCGCGGAGCACTACTCATAATTCCTTTCCATTTCAGTCTGGTGTGACGTCAGTTACCTTTGCCAAGTTTCATCCTAATTTAATAGTTGGTGGGACATATTCAGGCCAAATTGTATTGTGGGATAACAGAAGCAGTAAAAAGACCCCTGTGCAGAGAACACCTCTCTCCGCCACTGCACACACAGTAAGTGAATTCTATTTTGATTTGATTTTCTTTGTTTTGGTGTTTGGATAACAGGGCTATGACAATCTTTTCAATGTCTAGTAGACATTGTTTTTCTGAGCAAGGTCTTTATGTGATAGCAGAATATACCGTAATGATTCGATTTGGCGCCCTCGTTCCGAAAAACGCCCATTCTCTATTAAGCGCCCCCTCGAATTTGTTTTTGTTTTTTATAAGCGCCCCTTTTCTATGGAGTGCCATTACCGCCAATATTCAGCTACTGTTTTTTTTTTATATAAAATGGTGCGTAAGATATGAAGCCACTCATGTTTTATGCAGCTAATCATTTTATAAAATGGTGCCTTAAAAAAATATGGAGCGCTTTTTATGAGGTCAATTATGATTTATGCAGCTAATCATTTTATAAAATGGTGCCTTAAAAAATATGGAGCGCTTTTTATGTTTTACGCGGCTAATCGTTTTATAAAATGATTAGCTGCATAAAAATGGCTTGATATAAAAGCGCTCCATATTTCTTAAGGCACCATTTTATAAAATGATTAGCTGCATAAAACATAATTGGCTTCATTAAAAGCGCTCCCTATTTTTTATGGCACCATTTTATAAAATGGTTAGCTGCATAAAACATCATTGGCTTCATAAAAAGCGCTCCTTATTTTTTAAGGCACCATTTTATAAAATGATTAGCTGCATAAAACATCATTGGCTTCATATCTTAAGCACCATTTTATAAAAAAAAAAGTAGCTGAATATTGGCGGTAATGGCACCCCATACTTTTCCAGTAAGCCGCCATTCTGTTTGTGTGAAAGCACTCTTGGAGTACGTGGTTCATCTTCCATTAATTGCTTGCTTAAAGCCTTATTACAGAAATAGTGGTCTTCGTCTCAATCTCTCAGCGAGTGCACAGCTCCTTCAAACGGATGATCTCGTCTACAAAATGTTGCGACGATTTCTTAGCTAGTCGTTCTAGCCAGGAAAGATCAAGGGACAACAGGTCCTACATCCAGTCTTTTGATCCTTTTCAAACACACACTAAAGCTCTCGCACATCCTGCTGTTTCTCAAGTAAGAAATAAACGCCCTGTCCTTAAAGGAAAATAAGTGCCGCGGGACCTAAATTGAACCATTACGGTATGCATATGAATTCTCAACTGATGGACAACCGCTATTTTGCTAAATTCGTATTATTTCGTCTGTTAATGATTGTAAATTTGATCATACATGTATTTGATTTCGTTTTGTTTTTGGCACTAAATTGTGTAACAATGAGTTTGAAACTAAAAGGATATACAGTGTACATGTACATGTACACAGCGCACAAGGATATGATTGAAACGTAGCATCTTCATAAATAATTGACCACCACAATCTTAATTACCCCTCTCTGTGAAGAGAAACAAAACAGAGAGAAACAAAACAAAGAAAACTTGCAGGTAAAGCCAAAGAAAACTGGTACTTTCTTATTAAACGGGGTAAGTTTCTAAAGAAACTGTGGTGCTGCCGCTGCGTCTTTGGGAGTGCTAAGGTAATTTAGTTTTATCAACTGAGTTGGTAATGAAAATTGGCCACCGTAAAGAGTTTTGAAAGCTGACGTTTCGAGCGTTAGTCCTTCGTCAGAGCAGCACTTTCTTACACTGTTTTTGTTTGTTCGTTTGTTTGTTTCATAACGATTGTGTAATTGGAAGATTTATTTTCACTATGTAGCATCCGGTTTATTGTGTGAATGTGGTTGGAACTCAAAATGCTCACAATTTGATCAGTGTGTCTACTGATGGAAAGATGTGTTCTTGGAGTCTTGACATGTTGTCACAGCCTCAGGTAGGACAGCGATTATGTTAACAAGTTCCTCCAGCTCGTCATATCACGACAGCGACAGTTTCCGTGAACGAAACTTACAGGCTTTGTACGACGCTTGACTGACTAGAACCACAGCTCCTCTTATCGTGAGTGACTACTGATCACTCTTTCTCATGTTCTAATCAATTGTTGTTTACGACAATCCTCCGTCTCAGGAAAGTTGTTGCACAGAAAAACTGCACACGTTCTTAAGTTTACCCTTTGGGGAAGCTACAGTACACTGTAGTTTATGTTTTGTCCGTCTCGAAAGGTTTAGTTCTCATTATTTTTCAAAGCTCCTATTTGCAATCCGTGTTGGAGCGCTTTGCGATCGAGAGTCGTAAAATCAAGACATTAAATCACAAGAGCCAATCAAATTGAAGGAAAATGTCACGACCGTTGAAAACTCAAAGTAACAACACACAAACTGCTTAATGCGCGGGAAAACGCCTATCACCAAGACGCGTTTGGCATTCGTTTTAAATCTGATTGATTGAGAAAGTGGTGCCTGATTTTTGGACCAATCATACACTGTACTCCTTTTGGTGAAGTTTTGCCTTCCACGTGTTTTTCTTCCTCGGCGAATGATTAGTTCAGCGTGTCATTCTATGAAATGCGCCCAAATGTTATGTTGTAGCTTCATTTAGCACTAGCCGTGATGTTCTTCCTTGCCATCTCTGTTTATTTCAGGACAGCATGGAGCTTCAATTTAAACAGTCCAAGGCTGTGGCGGTGACGTGTCTATCGTTTTTGGCTGGTGATGTCAATAATTTTGTGGTGGGGAGCGAGGAAGGTTCTGTCTATACAGCCTGTCGACATGGAAGGTAACCTGAGCGTGAAGCTATGTTATTCGTTTTCATGCTTTTGACGCCTTTGTTTTCATCGAATGCTCCAGCCCCCCCGCACCACGCCAAAAAAATAAATAAAAAAAGCCAACTCCCAGAAAAAAAATGGAATTTAAGCTTTATTGTCATCTGAATCAAGCATCAACGTATAGGCCCATCTTTCTAAAACTGTGCATAACTTTTCTCAAAGAGTACTAATAGGTGGAAACCTTGCTTGCTTGTTTTATAGCAAAGCGGGAATCAGTGATATATTTGAAGGTCACTATGGACCAGCGACAGGCATTGATACTCACTCAGCAGCAGGACCTATTGACTTCTCTTATCTGTTTTTGACGTCTTCGTTTGATTGGACCATCAAACTTTGGAGTCACAAGGTAAGGATTGTAAAAACGAATGTTTGGACGACTCTTGTATATCTGCCTCTCTATTAACTTTTCCTCTAGTCTTGATACTGGCGAGGAATCGCAGAATCCTTCATGTTGGAACAGACTTGAAGACGTTGAAGAAAAGGAAAAAGAAAGAAATGTGTTACTAACGTAAAAGAGTAATACAGAGAACTGGCATGGGTTCGAATCCATTATTTCTCGGTGGCGCTGCTTCACGAATATCTCCCAGGCTTCTCGCGTAGCCCGTGGAATATCGGTGTGCTCATCTCGCCGGCAAGTGAAGCAGGCTGGCTTGATTCTTTCAGACTTCATATGATGATTTTCAAGCAAAATGATTGTCTAGCAGCACCAGTGAGAGCCTGGGCACAGGCTCAAGATGTAATTAAGCTTCTCTCTCCTTGACAAAAATATAAGACATCTGTATTTATATGCAATATTTGCTGGCAGAACCCACGTCCACTGTATTCTTTTGAAGACAATGGTGATTATGTGTACGACGTACAGTGGTCCCCAGTTCATCCTGCTTTGTTTGCTGCCGTGGATGGAACAGGAAGACTGGACCTGTGGAATCTTAATAACGACACAGAGGTAAACTGATAGTTTTTCCTTTAAATTAGGTCACAGGCGTCCGAAGGTCAGGTATCGAGCAAAAGCGAAGGATTATTTCATGAAAGCGTCACGCGTTGTGTGATACGGTGTTAAGTTACGCGAGCAACCGTTGAGAGTTTGAATGCGTTATAAAGAATAGTGTGGGGAACAAAATATGGTCCATTTAAAACACTAAATATTCCGAAATATGAACATTTTACACGTTAGATAATAAAACTTACTCATTCCTTGTGTGTTCGTCGTGTTTTTTGGCGACTTTTGCTGTTTTGGGCTTGCTTTGCCATCGCTGTTTTTCCTGTTATCGGACAAAGTCAAGGCTGCACACTACGATTTCGACCGTTGTCCACGCGGAGGCGGTTTTCGCCCAGAAAATCCATCTATTCGGCAATTGTTTTACCCACAGCTTACGATCCAAATTCATTGTATCCTGGAAAGTGTCTCAATTCCAAAAATCCCCGCGCAATACGCTGAAAACGAGCGTTTTCTACCATAATTTCCACGTTGATTCCTTTCTGGCAGAGCCTTAGACTCACAGACTGGACACGGCCGCGCAAGAGGCTTGGGTCTAAGGTTAAAATTTTATCTCTACCGAGAGTGGTACGGTCGCATTGTTTTATCATTGTTTACAGGATGCTCAACCTTTATCTAATCTAAGTTAAATTGGCCACCGTAAAGAGTTAAAAAGCTGACGCTTTGAGCGTTGGCCCTTCGTCAGAGCTGTAGAAGGGCTTACGCTCGAAACCACAGCTGTTAAACTCTCTACGGTGGCCAATTTACTTTATCGATATAGTTCATAAAACCAAATTACCATGTTACCCCCACCGACGTAGCACCTCAGTTTCTTAAGAAACTTTCCTCCTTTATTCCTTTATCTCATCTTCCCTTCCACAACCGGGACAAAACAAGTTTTTTTGCCCTATCAAACTTCAATGTTTTGTACATAAATTGACCGTACCACTCTCGGTAGAGATAAAATTAACCTTAGACCCAAGCCTCTTGCGCGGCCGTGTCCAGTCTGTGAGTCTAAGGCTCTGGCAGAAAGCCTGAATAAACGTGGAGATTACGGTAGAAAACGCTCGCTTTCAGCCTATTGCGCGGGGGTTTTTGGAATTGAGACACTTTCCAGGGTGCAATGATCTTGGATCGTAAGCTGTGGGTTAAAAAAATTTCCGAATAGATGGATTTTCTGGGCGCAAACCGCCTCCGCGGGGACAACGGTCGAAATCGCTTAACACCGCATCACACAACGCGTGACGCTTTCATGAAATTATCTTCGCTTTTGCTCGAGACGTGAACTTGGGACGCTTGTGATTAGGTTAGATTATGTGCGCGAGATTTCTAAAGCGTTATAATGGATGAAGGGGAAGTCCGGATCTGCCATTGTGTACAGAAGTCCAGAGAAAAGCTAATTGTTCTAGCATAAATCTAGTCACATGTACCAGTCGTTCTAAACTGAAAAACAAGACAGGCTCGTGATTTGATTGAAATAGTGGTGCAAAGAGGTCACGTCGTAGGCTGATAATTGGCCACCACACCTCACTCACTATCTGTCACAGAACAGATAATGTGTAGCGTTAGTAATCAGATTGCAGCAGTTGCTATCAATTGCAAGTATTACTAAAGAAGTATACTAAAGAAGACAAAACAGCCTGCAGAAACGGCAGTGTGTGACATGAGTCTCGGAAGGAAAGTTAACCCGTGTCCGTTTTACATAAAACTCTTTCTGTGGCACGTACTGATTTGGTCTCTTGCAAGCCGATAATACTCTGTCAGTCTTACGCACTCGTTAATAAGTCGGATGTAAACCTTGCAATGGTCCAGCTCTCCGTAGAGTCTCTGTCACACTTGCTTCCTTAGCCAGCTTAGCGGTGGAGGGTCGGAGCCTAGGATGCGAAGATCTGAGGTACTCAAGTCTTTTCCTTTGTCCCACGCTGTTGACAACAACGAAACAATACCTTTCTTCATTTACTCTGTCTGATGGAGGCACTTATTTGTTCGTTTGAAAACCTGAAACTCTGTCAGTTTAACATCCTTACGCGGTCAGTTACGAACACAATTTAGTCAGTTGTTAAAATTACTATGTCAGTACGTTGTGCCCACAAGACGGATATTTTTCATTGTTACGTAATCATTTTATTCTTCCCGCTGCGACTGATGCAAGCCAAGTGAACGCGTTTGGGCGTCTAATGGCAATCCCATATGGCAGATTCTAAATATCGAAAAATCTTGTTCGTTTGTCGTGGGAACACTTGTCGTTCTCCATCCGCTAAAGCGATTTTAAGGCACCTTTTACAGGAACGTGAAGATAGGAACGAGTGGGAGATTGACAGCGCTGGAACTCTTGGTTTGCGCGAAGGACTCCTGTCGGATGAACGTGGGTTGCAAGTGTTGAAGAAACATGAAATTGCTAGCAACCACCAAGCCAGACAAGTAAACGAGGATGATTTTCGTCGATTTGATGTAATTCTGGCCTTTGATGAAAAGAATGTACGAGATCTGAATGAAACTTTTAAGCTAAATGGCGGCGCTGCCCGAGCGGAGGTAAAACTGTTTGGGACGTACGATCCCAAAGGAGAGTTGATAATACACGATCCTTACTATGGAGATATTTCAGATTATGAAATCATGTTCGATCATGTATATAGATGCTGTGTGGAGTTTTTGAAACAGTTTTAGAGAAGGACTTGTTGATATTTCATTCATTGGGTCAGTTCTATTTTGACACATTGAAGGGACATGCTCAATTCCAAGCGTAAACAACTGGTACAATAACAGCTGAATTAGGATATCTGAAACCGCAACACCGCAAAAAAAAAAAAAAAAAAAAAAAAAAAAACACGCAAATAACAAAACAAACAAACACACACACACACACACACACACACACACACACACACACACTTCTGAGTAGATAGCAAAGTTATTTGTACTAAAAAAATTAATTGTGCTTAAAGATGATTACAAGGCTTGAAATAGCGGCTGGTCAACGAATAATGTCCGGTCCCTGAAAAAGTCTTGTTCAGTGAAATCCAAGAATGGCAGACGGTCTTTATCGCCTGTGAAGAAAAATTTAGTGCCGAGCGTAAGGCTTTGAATTTTAAAGTTCATCATAATTTGCGTTTGTGAATAAAAGGGGATGAGACTGAGAGAGGCACTACCAGACCAATAATTTTAATTTTAATAATGATTGTATTTTCGCCCCGTCATACACCAAACTGTCTCCGCAAGCTAGGGGGTCTTTCCAAGTTGCATAAATAGCAAAAATAATGAACAACTTTATTCTTTTATTTTGTCGGCATGTACTAAAACCAATGGGACAATTACGAGTTTGCGTGACGATTTCGAACTTCGTAACGTAACGTGAAATAAGGGTTTATGCGACATTAGCGCGACTCCGTGGATATTTTGAGTTCTGTCACAAATTGTTTCGTCTACCGTCGGTCGTTTATCGTCTACCGTGTGGGTTTTAGTACATGCCTGTTTTGTCCTCTTGGATTTTATAGACGTGACGTGAGAAGCATAACAATGCCTCTTAATGTCGGTTTGAAACTTTCTTCGTTTTAGCTTACAATGCATCAAATTATCGGATATGAGTTCTACTAGTAAGTGTTTCTTGATGTATTTTCACATCAGGTGGCTTGTATAAATACGAAAGTCAACCACATCATAGGCTTCTGTTTTGTTAACTTCGTAACTTTAGAAGCTGTTGAAATTCAATTGTTTAGAGGACATAGTACTAAAGCGATATTGATTTTGCGGCTGTGTGTAACGCAATTCTTCACCATTATGTCACGTCTCCTTACCCCACCCCTGTTCGCCTTCATTTCTAGGTACCAACAGCGAGCACCAGCGCCGAATCAATGACGTCACTTAATCGTTTACGATGGACACATTCTGGTCACCAGATTGCCGCGGGTGATGATGACGGTCACGTATTCATCTATGATGTCGGCGAGGTTAGTACCGGCGAATTATATAACAGGCGGAACACTCATAGAATGTGTTGTACATATCCACGTTAAGCACTGAGTAGTTAACGTTTTCAAAGTGTCGTGGTCTGAAACTCTCAACTAAGTGAGGTAAAATATAATATTATTGCGCTAAGTGTATTTTTTCTTTGCCTCTCTTGAGTCGTGTGAAACTCAGAAACACGATCAACCTTTGGGTGTATATGTAGAAGGAGAAGAACCACGTTCGTTTCTATTTACTTATTTGATGTCCTCAGACAACGATGCCTCTAAAATTCTACTATTCAGTGCTTCATTTGTAACCGCCTTAATCCTCTTAGCTAGCGAGCAAGCCCAGCAAGCAAGCCCTTATTGATAGCACTGCAGGACTGTTTTCCACCTTCGGGAAGATTTGAGAAGAGTCAGGGAAAGGTCACCCAGGGCCGGCTTTTTCAAAGCTGGGTGAAAATGTCTTATTTCAGATGTGAAAGCTTGGAAAGAAAATGCGTTATAATTCTTTTTGTCCTACAATATGATGATTGGATATTTAAAAGAGAAGAGAAAAAATAATCCCGAGAAGGGTTTTGAACCAAGGAATAAAGGAACCCGGATTAAAATTTAAACCTTGGGATAACGCTAATCGGCCTTCGAACAACTGGGCCCTGCATGGGTCTGGCACCAATATCAGCGCTAGTCTCCTTTGCAAATCTCTCGCCGGCTCGCGTTGCTTAGGCCTGATACTTTCCCGCGGGTAAGGAAACGCCCGTCTCCAAGCGCTAATAACGACGGCCAACTCATAGGGTGATCTATCCCTTGTCACACAGTTCAGGCTCATTCTTATCTTTCTATTTTCTTGGTTCCTTTTTAGCAACTTGCTGTCCCAAGAGTGGATGAATGGTCAAGATTTCAAAACACCATTCATGAGATCCAAGCTAACGCCTCATCCAACGTTGGCGAAATAGGCTCTCCCAAAATGTCACCGTCCAAGATGCCATTTAGTTGATAATACTACCTGTAAAATACTGAGGAAATAATGCAGTAGAACTGTAGTATAACAAAACTGTGTTCGCCATTCTAGGCAGAGGACTCAGCTGTTAACTCAGGGTGATTGCAATGAGGGTCGTAACGAGGAATGCAGCATGGTTTATTATTATTATTATTATTATTATTATTATTACTATTATTATTATTATTATTATTATTATTATTATTATTGTTGTTGTTATTATTATTTGACCAGGTTTTCAAGATGTTAGATTGATCTTTCCACATTTTACATGTCGAAAGGCGAGGAATAGGCTAAGTAGTGTAGTGTCTTGGCAGATGTAAGTCATGTTTGTGCTTTTTCAGATTATTTCAGGGATTATCTGAAGAGGTTCGAATTTTGCCCGAAACTTACTATACAACTTTAATTCACGGTATGAAAATGTGTCCGAAAATAATTTGAAAACAGTTCATGGTAATTTGCCACCGTTCGGTTGATGGCGTACTGTGGATAGGACCACAACAGTAACAAGTCTTAAACGAATTCCTTATCGCAAGAAACTTTGACACGTAGTGAATCTATTGACCTGAGAAGCTGAAGAAAAATGTTTGTATAATTCTTATGGCGGTATACTGTAAGAAATAAAGATATCTATCAACCATATCTCAAGAAATAGCATGAAAGCTTATCTTGCTGGAAATGTTAAGCTGGTTGTGGTCTGATTGGTTAATTATAGGATTGGGGTAGCCGCCTGGTAACGTATGTTTGTGCAACATTTGTTGATGTGGTTTTTTTTTAACACTTTTTGCATCGAATTCGTGATAAATTCCCAAGGTTTAGAACGTGGAATTTCCATGTAATAAAGTCGTTGAACAATCTTTCTCGATCTTAAGAGCGACTTTCTGTAAATACCACGTATAGGTGTGCAAGATGGAAAAATCAAAATCTCCCAAACTTTGTCACATTAAAGCCCTAATGAAACTATTTTAGAAAATGCAAGATTCAGTTTCTTGTGATTGATATTTTCCGAAAAAATAATTTTTTTGAATTTCTACCTCCGAGAGGTCCTTAAACCACCGAAAAATGTGCTTCGCATCCTCGCGTGGTGAAAAGAAACGGAATCAAAGACCATGACTATTGCGATATAAGATGATTTTACGACCCTTCCTTTGTATGAAAACGTTATTGTAATTTCAAAAGATTCCAATCTAAATTTTTAATTATTTTTCAAAATTACCCTCTAAAACAGTTTCATCGCGACTATCAATTTTGCCATTTTTCAACGGAAAAAAACTCTTCCTGGTACATGGCTTTCGTTGTACAAATGCTATTCCAGAGTACGAGAAATCATTTTTCTTTCAATTTATGAAATAAAATTTTGGGGCAATTTAAACGGCAAGTTTTGAGAACTGAAAACATCAACGGTACTTGCCTGAAACTTACAACTTGAACTTGCGGTTGCAATGACGAATAAAAGCAGTACAAGAGTGAACCTGGACAGCAGTTTAAATGCGATCCTTTTCCACTAGTTCAAAAACTGAAAAAACGATTATGACTTCGTAGTGGCAATTAACTGAAAGGAAAAGCATTTTTATTGCGCGAAATTGAGCTGTAAACCTCTCGACAATACTTCCCGTACCTGCGCATTTGTTTCCTTTGAAGCCTGACTTGTACCAGTTATCTAAATATGAAAAGTATTCATCACAATGTTCGCATTTCGTCTAAAAGAAATCGTACGAGCAATGGTGGAAGAATAGGACAAAGATTTACTCAGCTCACATACATATATTGTTGAAAAAAGACCAAAATCCCTCAGCTAAACTAGAATGCGTGACATCCTTTTTTACCACACCCAGGTAGGAGGGTGGGGGTGGGAGAGTTTGGGCTTGGGCTTGGGTCCAAAGCAGACAAAAAGATTCCCTAGTAAATCCCGTAATCGCTAAAAAAGAAAAAAAAAGCTGTGTGGGGTTTTCGAAAAAAGACAAACAAACAAAATCAATCTTGGGACAGGAGCCGATCTCCTGTTGGGAATTAAAATAGTGACGCTGCCTCAACGCAACCCTCGTGTGAACAAGAAAACATAGCGCTAAGGTCTCGGTCCTTTTCCTTCATATGGGTTTTGGCTTATCAACCGTCTGAGATACTTCTGTGAAGTCCCCTGAGGAAAACTGGCACTCAAAGCTGAGCGGCTGTAAATAATCTGGAACTAAAAGACCAAATGAAAATGTAATAAAATGACAAAAGTTTCGGCTCCACAAATGGATAGTGTTTTTTTTTTTTTTTCCGGTTGTTGTTTTTGTTGTTTAGGGTTAATTCACACGAAGGATAAGTAATAGGTATTAAACTAGACTGTAGAGCATGAGTATAACTTCAATAAGAGAAAAAGAGTTTCTTTTCTTGTCCACTGTTTTTCTTTTCTTTTAAAAAAAATTCATGTCGTGGACACAGCGTGACAGCAGCATAGAACCGTGTACTGAAAATGTTTAAAGCGTCACTATTCTTTGGAAAATCATTTATTGTATGGGCAATGTCAGTTTCTACCGGTCAGAGAAAGCCCAAATCCACACCCCCTTACCTGGGTCTAGTCAAAGAGGATGTCACGTAATCTAGTTTAGCTGAGGGATTTTGGTCTTAGGCTTGGGCTTGGACTTGGGTCCAAAGCAGACAAAAACATTCTCAGGTAAATCCCATAATAAGCTGAGTAGGCTTTTCGATAAAAAAACAAACAAACAAACAAACAAAATCAATCTTGGGACAGGAGCTAATCTCCTGTTGGAAATTAAAAAAAAATATATTACAATCCTTCCATCTCACCAAATCCCAAACCTCCCTCCCATCCGGTGCTTATTACCCGGGAAGAAAACCTTAAGTCTCCGTGATGAAATAAAAAATATTTATAGCTAAAAACCAGACAGCCTAGGATCTGAAGGATTTTACCGGCATGGGATCCTGGCAGGTACAATTTTGGCATCAGGCGTAATGCTCTATACTTCAGTAAGAAAGTAAAATTAAAGTTGATGAAAGTCGAAGGCCTGATTTCCCTCAATTAAGCCGTATTTCCAAGCCAATTATAAGTTTTTTGCTTTCAAACGTAAAATAAAAGAATGCTGATGTTGGAATGTTCATTTAATTAGTCGTTATAGACCCTAACTGTTACTACAACTGCATGCTACCAGACGTTCTCCAGTAGGGACAAGTAAGTAGCTTTGCGTCGTCCTTTGATGTTCATCACCTCAATGTCAAAATGTTTGCAAATGGAATGCAGCATGGAAACACTTAGCTGTCGCAGTTTACCTGCCTTGTGCGCGTCACATAAGTTGAAAGTGTCGAAAACAATTGGGTGCTTTAGTCCCACCTTCTCTAACACAACTGTGCGAACATTTTCGTACGCGATTTCCTCTTCAGCGGCCATAATATCTTCGTCTTGATCANTTAAGGGCCTCTTGGAGGTGAACATTCAAAAAAAATTATTTTTTTGGAAAAAATCAATCGCAAGAAACTGAATCTTGCATTTTCTAAAATAGTTTCATAAGGGCTTTAATGTGACAAAAGTTTGGGAGATTTCGATTTTTCCATCTTGCACACCTATCCGTTGTATTTACAGAAAGTCGCTCTTAATAGCTGAAATGATAGTACTGTAACAAAATTGAAATCACAAGACATGAATTCGAGAAACCGCAAATGTATAAATGTTCAGAGTAAAGACACTCATGGTTTGAATCTGAAGGCGAACCCTCGCCAAGTGAAACATCGATCGTTGAACACTTCCTACCCAACATGACAAAAATATGTCTTCCGACAGGAAACAGATGAAGTCTCCAATCTAAGCATTGCGTACGAATTGCGCGCTGCATTAAAATTACTGGTATGTAATAACAATGCCCGAGCGACTCGTGCTGACCTTGTTTGACAATCAATAGGGATCGAAATGAACAATAACATGACAGTTTTAACTTCCTTCTCTTTTCCTATGTGATTTTAATGGAACTAGAAACCGTCTTAATTGTAATCAAAAGGGTAAGTTTCTAAAGAACTGTGGTGCCGTGTCGATGGGGGTACAGTGTAATATAATTTGGTTTCATCATCTGAGTCAACTCCTTACGGTCGCCAACTTACATTGATAAAATCAAATAGTCTTAATTTGCCGTTAGTCGATTTTCGCTCGAAAAATTTATCAAGGTAGTTGGAATAACCAGGGGAGAGGGGGACTGCTACATCAACTCATCTCAGCGATCTCCGTTGATTGCGATCCTTCGTCAAGACGCGTGACAAGAGAGTTCCCAACTTGGTTGAATTTTTCTACGGTTTTGCGGTTTCCAATAGACCCCAATGTCCCCTTGTTATGTTATTTCCCGTCGAGTATGTGATAGTTCACGATAATCAATTACGCGCGAGACCTATCTGGACTCCGATCTCTTCTCGCTCAGAGTTTTCGTGCCATAGTTTCGGGGCCATTTACCCTCACTGTACCTTAGGGAGTGTGCATACTGAATGCTGATCAGGAACATCGCAACAAAAATTCAAGTCGGGGTAGGAGAGAAGAGAGGGCTGTCAAACGGATGTCGGCGGTCAAAGCCTCTGTGGGTGATTCGCGCTTTCGTTTTGAAGCGTTACTGTGGCTTTGAAGGTTTCTGATGTATGGTTGCCGTTTATTTTTGTACTGGTTGCCAGAGGAAACAAGTCAAACTAAAAATCAAATACAGATTTTTTTAAATATCGAATAACATTTGAGCGTTTAACGAAATTTTAACTTAAAATTCGTAGGGCATTCCATACTTCTTTTAGATCTTTTCGTGATCTCTGGCTGACCGTTATTTTGAATATTGAGTTCTTCGCGACTTTAAATAAAAAGAGGGGTTGGTCCCCAGACTCCCTGGGACAACGCTCTGGCGCCAAAACTATAAAACACTAAGTGCAAATCAGTGGGGATCTGAGGTTATGTTCATTATTTATATTATTTTCATGTCAGTATTAGGAGAGACGAGAGGGGCTCGCTACAGCACATTCTTTTCCGCTATCTTCAT